ACGCGGGCGCAGGCTGCGAGGCGCTGGCGCCCCAACGGCAAGGGCAGCCACGGCGCCTGGACGGCAGTCCCCCCGGAAGCCCGCAGGACAGGCGGCCACGCCAGGGCTCCCGGCTCCGGGACCGCTCCTGGGCTGCCCGCTCGGCCACGCTGGGCCTGCTCGTCCAGTTCCCCCCGCCAGCGCTGCGCCAGGTTGGTAACATGCTTTTGAAGCTCAGACCTGTAATCACCAGACCTGAGCACCCTCCTGGCCCCGGAGGCTTTGGGAAAGTGTTCTCCACACTTGGGTGGGCCCGGCCACCCCGGCTTGTAGCGCCATCCCAAGCCCTGCCCTCTCCGGCTGCCCCCGAGCCTCCTCTTGAAGGGGAACGGGCTGGCACGGGTCCAGACCAGGGCAGCCTCGTGGTCCCCTCAGCAGCCGGGTGCCCGGGGACAGGAGGACGGGCTCCCGGAATCTGAGGGAACAGAAACGCTCAGTACGCAGAGCGGGGTAGACGCGTTCCCTCTCCAGGCCCTGCTGCAAGGAGGCAGAGCTGGAAGAAAGGGCAGCTTTGTCTGCAAACATGCATGGGACGCCTCCTGGGAGCAGTTTCACACCAAGACATCTGCTCTGCCAATCTCGACTGTCGCTGCTGTGGGAGGGAAAGCCGCTCCTCTTCTAAGTCTAAAAATGGGAAGCGTCAGAAGTTGCCAAATGGATATTTGTGGCTCCGTGATGCACTCGAGACAGGGCTGGGGGGTGTCAGAGAGAAAGTAGGGAGAAAGGTTAGATATATTGAGGGCCAGGTGCCAGGGGCTAACCTGGGCAATTTACCCGCATCATCTCATTTAATCTTCATAGGAACCCCAAGAAGCATTAGCCCCCGTTTACCAGGGATAAATCTGAACCTCAAGCAGGGAGAGTGGATGACTTGGCAGAGCTGAAATGTAAACCCAGGCCCGTCTGCCCCAAAGACCACCCTCCTTCTGCTGTCCCTTGGCGTGCATACCTGCCCCGTGGCCAACAGCACGTGGAGGTAGCAGACCTGCCTTCCTGATGCAGGTGAGGGAGCTAGATGCCCCAGCGCCAGCTGGCCACCGGCAGGAAGCAGAAACGGGAGCCCCAAATCAGCAAACTAGTGGCCAAGTGCCACCGTGTCCCATGAAGGCCAGTGGCTTGCTTGAATCCTGGCGCTGTGTGAGGCCGTGCTCTAACCTTTCCCCAGGCCTCACATCCGAGCACGGTCCTTAGCGAGGGCCAGCCAGTTCCCCCGGCCCCAACTCCGTGGCAGGTAGACGCACCTGCGCCCTGGACTTGATTGTGCCTGATCTCACTGGCTGGGAAGTGTGAGTCCACGCTTCCTTCTGTGCAGGGGGTGTCCTGGCTCTGCCACTCCATCCAGCCAGGGGAGATACACATCCTCAGGCAGACAGAACCCTGAGGCTGGAGGTGCCGTAGACGTGAGGGGCAAGCGGCGAGCATGGCTAGCCTGGCCGGAGGATGCCCCCTGAGAGGGGTGTTCTCTCCCGGTGGGCATCAGGAGGTGCACAGGGAAGGAGAGCGTGCTGTGCCCACGGTGACAGCGGCTCCTTCCCAGCTCTGCCCGGGACCGCTGGAGAGCCCACACCAGGGAAGCCGTGAGCTTCCTGCAGATGCACCCTCAGGATCAGGGGACCCATCCGTCAATGGCCGGGAGGACCACATGGGCACCGCACCCCCACTCAGGACAACGGTCCCAGTGCCTTGCAAGTCCCTCCTGACTCCTTCAGCCCCATTCAGCAACTAACCTGTTTAGTTCAAAGACCCCAATGCCACTCTGATCCTGATCTGACCTGTGTGATAACACCACCTTCACCACCTTTACCACCATCAGTAAAGCCCTTTACTTAGTAGAGCACGGACAGTTTCCTTCTCTTAAAGGGGCAGGCCACTCTTTTCTCTGGACAAAAGTGAGTGGGAGCCTGGGTAGTGCCTTTTCCCCAGAAAGGCAGGGGAACGTGAGGACCAAGCCTGGCTTTCTAACATACCCTGAAGACTCTAGCACCCCGTGACTGCGGGCCCTGGTATCTCTTTTACACCTCATACCCCCCCCACAAACACACACACACATACATACATATGCATACTACACACAATACACACACTGCAAACACGCTGCACACACAGACATATCATAACACTTTCTATGTACAGATATACCATATATGCAAACACACCTTATATATGCATACACATCACCTACATATAAATAAACACACTACATACATACCTCATACATATATAAACACACGCCCCACACTATATGTATCTATGCACATACACAAGCCCATAGTCACACATCACACGACACACACACAAAATACATTTAAATGCACTATACACATAAACCATATTCACATAAAAAGATTGATTATAAGCATTTTTAAAGACTAACTAACTCTGTATCTAGAACAGTGGTTCTCAACCTTGGCTGCACATTAGAATCACCTGGGAATCTTTTTAGAATCCTGATTTCTGGGCCTCATCCTCTGGAAATTCTGTTTCTTTGTTTTGGGGTGGGGCCACAACATTAGTAACAAAGAAACAGAATTTCCGGAGGATGAGGCCCAGAAATCAGGATTTTAAAAAGATTCCCAGGTGATTCTAATGTACAGCCAAGGTTGAGAACCACTGATCTAGAAGAATAAGGACTGTTTTTTGGGTTTGGAAGAAAGGGACAAATGGGATTTGGCGGGGGGGAGGGGGTGCATTTTCACCTTAGCTATTAAAGAATGTTAAAGCGGCTGGTTTGGCTCAGTGGATAGAGCGTCGGCCTGCGGACTGAAGGGTCCCAGGTTAGATTCCGGTCAAAGGCATGTACCTTGGTTTCGGGTACATCCCCAGTAGGGGGTGTGCAGGAGGCAGCTGATCCATGTTTCTCTCTCATCGATGTTTCTAACTCTCTATCCCTCTTCCTTCCTCTCTGTAAAAAATCAATAAAATATATTTTTTTAAAAAGAATGTTAAAGTACCTTTAAGATATCATCTGGCCTAATAGCCAAACAAATTTTGAAAAATAATAATAAAGGGGTCTAGGACTACCAGATGTTAGAGAGTATTATAATACTGTAGTCCCAGGAAGGAGACAAACAAATCAATGGAACAGAACACAAAGTTCAAGCAGGAAAATGGTTTATTTAGAAAATAAGATTTTCAAAAAAATTTTAAATAAATCTTTATTTCAAAAAGTTAGAAGAGGAACAAATTAATTCAGATGAAAATCTTAAAAGAAAATAATAAAGTTAAATTCCTTTTTTTTTTTTTGAAAATAGACTTTTCGTTGTTGTTGTTAATCCTCTCCTGAGGACATTTTTTCTTTTTTATTTAAATCTTTATTGTTATAAGTATTACCTATGTCCCTTTTTTTCCCCCTTGAGGATATTTTCCCATTGATTTTTAGAGAGAGTGGAAGAGAGGGAGGGAGGGCTAAGAGAGAGAGAGAAACAAGGATATGAGAGAGACACTTCGAGTAGTTGCCTCTTGCATGTGCCCAACCAGGCTGGGGATCCAACCTGAAACCCTTGACCAGGAATTCAACCACTTACCACATCGGCCATGGCTGAAAATAGGCTTTAACAATAAAACCGAAGCCTGGTTCTTTTAGAAACAAATAAACAAACAAACACAAACAAATAAAAGAGAACTCTGGGCCCTCCTGGCGTGGCTCAGTGGTTGAGCTTCCATCTATGAACCAGGAGGTCAGGGTTCCATTCCTGGTAAGGGCACGTGCCTGGATTCTGGGCTCGATCCCCTGTGCGCCGCATGCAGGAGGCACCCAGCAATGATTTTCTTTCATCCTAAGGTTAACAACAGAAAACCATAGACCAAAGATGAATATAAAAGAGAAATTAATGAAATAGAAAACATCATAGAGAAGATGTGTAAAATGTGACAAAGCTGGGCCCACATTCTCCCAGTTTTGATAAACTTTTTAAGAAAAGCCAGAAGGGACCCTATCCCCCTCCCCATGTGGGAGTCTGTACTTGTTTTTCAATAAATCTCCACCTTTGCTATACTAAAAAAAAAAAAAGAAAAGAAAAAAGCCAGAAATCTCTAGCTTTTAATATATCTCCCAATTTTTAAATATTGGCTATTCATTCAAACAAAATTTTTAAATGGTCCAGCTGGCGTGGCTCAGTAGTTGAGCGTAGACCTATGAACCAGCAGGTCATGGTTCAATTCCCGATCAGGGTACATGCCCGGTTGTGGGCTCAATCCCCACTGTGGGGCATGTAGGAAGCAACTGACCAATGATTCCCTCTCATCATTGATGTTTCTATCTCTCTCTCCCTCTCCCTTCCTCTCTGAAATAAATAAAAATAAAATAAAAAATGTTAAATGTTATGTAAGCCAAATAAAAAATATCTCTGTCCCATGAAAAGTTTGAAATCTCTCCTAGACCAAATCTGACATGAATATGAACACAAAAATGTTAGATAAAATATTAGCACATCAAAACCAGCAGTATATTCATAATCAAGAGGTATTTATTCCAGGAATTCAAAGATGGTTCAAATTCAATGAACATATTAGTACATGGGTACAAGCTCTGCCTACAGGCCAAATCTGACCCACCACCTACCTTTGTGCAGCAAATGAGCTAAGAATGGATTTTACATTTTTAAATGGTTCAAAAAATAAAAAAAATGTTAAAAGCTTTTCTATGGCCATAAAAAATTTACGCTTTTTAAAATTTAAACAAAGAATTTAAAATATTTATAAAATATATGGCAAATATGTCCATATGTACAAAGAAATCTTACAAATCAGTATGAAAAATATAATTGTACCCACATGAATTGCACAAGAGAGGAAA